TTTCATGTTTCCAGCTTATCTTAATCAGAGTATATTAAAATTCACCAGAGGTTCGCTAATTATTAACTTTTAAAATACCAATTTGGCCTGATGTTCATACAAATAATTGTGCTTTAGTGAAAGGATAACATTAATAATAAGATATAAATAAAGCAATTAATCAATAAATGTTTAGCATTCACTAGGAAGGTTTATAGCATATAACCATAACCTTGACAATATTAGAATGTTAAATCAAATGTTTTTCAATGAAAAAGGATAAAGCATCTTCAAATATATACTGTTTCTATTTCCAAAAGTCATCAGCTTATCCATTTCGTTCGGTGAATGTACAACAAAGGATGAAAGGTCTTTGACGTATACGCCAACATCTGGTCGTTCTTTTACTTCCAGTCGAGCCTTTTGATCTTTTCCCAAAAGATCTCTGACCTATAAAATATGACAACAAATGCATTACCTCAAGAATTGTGAGTAGCAACAAAATGGTATAAAGTATACACTTTGCAAGATTTAATTAGCTGCTGTTTTGTATAACTATAATGCATTTTAGCTTAATTGGTAATAAAAACTCTTTTATGAGAAGGAATAAGTAGTAAACTATATTATTGTTTCCATGCCAAATAAATTAATGCGACAATATTAGTAACTTAATTATACTTTAAGATGGATTGGCCAGCGAACTCCCAGTTCCTTAGTAAAAAAGTGCGATGGTCGCCTATATTAGGGAATAATGCCTATTTTTTATATTATTTCGTTCCAATATGTTTTGGTTACCTTATTTATCTTGCGCTAAGTTTAATTCACAAAAAAGCGGAACAAGCATTAATGGCGCATCTCAGGCTTGATTGTCTCAAATATCGATAGATAAATCAACTCGAATTAGGTAAATCATTATTTCTAATAAGTGCAAACTTGTGTTCTTTACAAAATTTGATTTAAATCTTATATAAAAATCAAATTTTATATTAACAGTGTAGCGCTTTATGCTTATCATGCTTCATTCTACAATCCTAAAAATCTATCAGTCAAATTCCTTCTTGTTTAACCTATTGTTTAGATATTCAATCACATAGTTAATTCCATTTGGGTAGTGAGTAGAGATCCTAAACTACAGTGCATCACTTATAATAATATATAATCTTTGGATATACCACGAATATTCCAACATCTACGGTTTATTTTACGCTAAGGTGTAACCACAATAGTCAAAAAAAAGAAAGTTTTTGTAGAAGATAATGAAAGCAGATCTAAATACATGATAGTTTTGTACAAATTGGATAAAAGCTTGTCAAAAATGTTCATCTATATTAGTAACTATATAAAGATAGGCAAATTTAAGATAAGCAACACTAAATTATTAAGTTCGAAGGCTACATTTACTATAGATTTTTTCACAGCCAACAATGGTATAAATGAAAAAATGTAACATTTTTTAACAAGCACGAAGGGTTTAAGGTAGCCCATAATATAAATATAGGTAAAATGTTGTATCCGGTTCATATGGCATATAAAAGCTTTGGATACTATTACAGATTATCAATGCGATACAATATAAAAATAACATATATATAGTATTTCGGACAGAAATTTTATTGTGCAAAAAATGGGAGGAATAAACAGAAATTAAGGTATACTTATATATATATATGTATATATAATTCTAATGCTGTCTTTGCCAATAAGCCACAAAATACTAAAAAGACCCTAGAGATAAAAAAAGAATGAAGCATAAAACATCTTATAATTTTTAAGGCTATAAAATAATTTAGCTATATGAGCTATATGGCATAAGCATAAGTAGAAAGCTCGCATGTAAATAGTTTTTACGAATTTGAGGACTCACAGTTTACCGTGCAACTAACAATTGAATGACTAATTATATATTAACTCTAATATTTCTAGTAAAATTATGCCTCTTTAGACATAAATAATTTTTAACGCTTTTTCAAGCAAGGAATAGTAAATATGAATACCTAAGAAATCCGAGTTACAAGTAAAAAGATATGTAAAACAAAGTATCGCTAGTGCTTTTACTTCTTCATTATAGATTTCCAAGTACGAAATTCTGACCAAAAATCGTGTGTTAGTAGCGGCTTTGGCAATTGCACCAAAAATATGAGCGAAAGAGTTGGGAATTATGCCTCTTAACTCAGGGGCGGACCGGCCACCCTCCATAGTAAATGTCTTTCCAGTACCAGTTTGTCCATATGCAAAAATAGTGCCTAAAACATTGATTTGATTATTAATACACCATTTACCATTGTATCCTTCTAATACTTTATCTACGATTGGCCTTGCAACTTTATTGTAGACATCAAATTGTTTGCTACTTGAATCAAAAACTAAATCGAAAGTAAACTGTTTTTGAGGCTCATCATCTGCTAAACCAGGGCGTTTAAGCCAGATTGTTCCATTTAATTCTTCAACCTAAATGTAACAACCTCAGTACTGCTATAAAACCCAACATACTGTAACTGAGATTTTGCACCCCTGAATGATCTCCTTTTCACTAATCGGCCGACATCTGACAGATACTTTAACATTATCATTATCAGTGAGAATCTAAATATAGATGTTTCATTAATATAAAACGATACCATCTAGGAGTTATGGTAAATAACCATTTGAAATACCGCTTATAACAAATTAATTTAAACAAAATATATGATTTACAATTTGTCTAAATTAAAAATTTTATAACTTATCTAATTAAACATTCAAATTGTGTGTGTAGCATTATTTTAGCAATCAAAATAGTAGGACGGCATACTGCTATTAATAATAAAATTTACTTAATAATTAATTGTGGTTATCAAGGACTATAGATCGGTCGTTATCAGATTAAGTATGTATCGAATCAGCCACCTAGCTATCCTTTAAGTCTAAGGTAACCATATGCTAAAAACTTTTATAATTGCGATATTAAGAATGCAAATACTCATTTCGCATTCGAGTAATCTTGATCTAGGTATGAAAGTTTATCCTCCTAGTATAAATGTCGTCTGCTCTGATAATTTCCATTGATTTAAAATTAGAATTTAAATATTTACATAGTTTTGTAAATATACTAATATATATATATATATATATATTAAATATATATATAAATATATTTAATATGTATTATGGATATATTTAGCTTTTGTTTATTAAGAAGTCAAATTAATTATGAATATTCTGAACAATAGTCATTTCAATAGATTGAAGAAACGAAGACCAAGCTAGTGTGGCCTTCTGTTTGGCCGCAGTCTCACTTAGCATTATAGTCTGGGTTTGACATCGTTTTCGCAACTTGGTCGGAGCGACAGAGAGAACTTGTGGAAATTAACTACTCCTCGTCGCGTGTCATATTATTCGTCAGTTTCCAGACGTGTTGCCAGCATCGTAGTTAGCATCGCCAATGAGAGGAGCTATCGTTAGCAATGAGCAAGAATTCCTTGAAACGTCGTCTGAAACTGGTAGTGGGACTGATTACACTTTGGTGACACACTCTAATGCGATATTGGAGGAAACGAGAGCACATAATGATGTGAATACGTGATTTTGTGATACAAAGTGTGCTTAAGGACAAGCAGCATTAGAAGGTAGGACAAATATTATGGGTGAGGAGCAATTAAAAAATGATCGAAACTGCACTATACTCTTGATTAGAGCACATTTGAGGAAAGCAATGCTATGTGTAATTCGAAGGAAAAAACAGCTCTACACAAATCGTTTTGGGAAAATTCTACTACCAGTCCTTCATCAACTTAAACGAAATAGGCAGGATACATCGAATATAAGAGAAGTTTTAAGTATGACTATTGAATCAACTAATGCAATCTTTTCGGAAATTTTAGAACTCACTCTAGAAATCAGGCTGAAATGTTTCAATTTTATTTGGTAATGTCTATGTGGAAGAGACCTGCTGACACATGCATGAAAGGTACTTTGAACACTAAAACAGCTTTCAAAGTGTTTGGGGTTCAAAAGTCTGAACTAGAATCACATACGATACCAGATAACCTGGTCTAGAGCACAACACTTAGTTGTATATTAAGAAAAGTTTAATAGGAGAAATTCAACTAACGAAGGAGTCCTCTCTAAATCATTGTCAATAAGAAGGCTTACGTGATGCATAAAATATCACGAAATACCTGTCAACAAATAAATAAATTTCCGAGATATGACAGTATTGAATAAAGAATTGTTATGAATTTGATAAGTTATTCGGTGAGCAGATAATAGATTGCGGAGAAAAATACATCTCATATAATAAAGACATATTCTTTACGAAAACAAGTAATGTAGCCGACGGTAATGACAGTACAAGACTGCTACATTGATGATCTTACCACGTGATATGATATAAGAAAGCTCTGGGCCGATTTCAAAGTTGCGTCTGCTCTATGGCACACTAGCATATGTGAAAGTGTGGCTTAGCGGTAACACGTTGGAAATCAAAGAAGGACTAGCCTTGTCAGGTTTTTGTTTTGGGCGCTAACAAACTCGAGAAGGTCAAGATTGCAATCCAATATACAAAAGAATAACATTTGGGAGGCAAGATTAATTGAAAATCAATGGCGTCGTTAACCCTACTCATATCATTGTGGGCACATTACCTATCCATCCTTCATCAAATTAAACCATCTAGAGTGACTGCAGTTCTTATTCTAAAAGTAAGTATGTCTTTAAAAGTTTTCCACGCCCTACACTTTATGTGGAAGAAAGAGATCTTTATTGCCTTTATTTCTTTGATGGAAGGCAATCTACTTTCATCGAGGTAGTTATTAAGGTATGATTGAGACCGAATGTCAAAGATGCTTTTTCAGTTTAGATCTGTAGCTACTTTTTACGTTTCATTCATACAGGATTTTAAAATTTGATTTTCTCCTCAGTAACGATTTAATTATCCATTCAATTTATCAATCCACCATCAAATATGTATGCTGAATGCAGTTGAGTCCAAAGTATCATAATACTATATTTGCACGAGCTGCAAGAATTAGAGATGATCGTTTTACTCGTGTTCAAGTAGTTGACTTAATTTTTGAAGGCAGACTATTATAAGACCAAATTTCTCGAGAATGATGTCGACTTTTAACACACTGACAACATTTTGGATACCTGAAAAGAATTCTTGCAGGCTCTCCAATCCTTGTCCTTCTACAAGATAATGTAAATTGGAGAAGTGCTCACTTTCTTAGAGGCGTCGACTGTCCTGGCTTATATTGTCTTTAATTTGGATCTAATTAACATGGTTTACGGTCTTGCGAACGATCTTTCATTTTATTTAAGTGCCTAATGCCATGCTTGGTTGGTATTATGTAGCATACACTCTATGCTGGTGGGGGTAAACTCTTAAGCAGGTCTCATCAAATTGAACTCTCAACTCTGAATTTCTGTCATCACTTGCAGGCATGGACAGATATTTGCGGAATTTACGCTCTGTTTAATATAATGTGCAAAGTGCGACCTCTCACTTAATTAGTCAGTGTGGTGGCTTGAGCCAAATCGGCGGATATGAGAAGCCAGTTAGGCAATTGCTTAGAGTTGAGGTGGGAGATTGCCTGGATTGTGTTGATTTTTCATTATATTTTAAGATACTAATAAGTGAAACGGGTCTTTACTTAATTTGCAATGATGAAAGAAGTGAGGTTGCTACCAAGAATTTGTTCATTCATCTTTATGAAAATCTAGCTCTAACGAATACATTTAAAATCTTAAACTCGAGAGCCTGTCATGATACAGATAAGGATAGACAGATATTTACTTAACGCATACTACTCAATTTATTTTAAGAGCCATACCTCTCTGTCAGCTATAATTTTAAGAAATAGATCTATTTTACTAAATTAAAACTGAATCCGACTTTTAGGCCACCAGACAATGAAGCATTCATCAAGTCAAAAATAGCTTAAATACGTTTATTTATACAGATGAATAGTTTTTACTTATTGCTTATGTCACCTAGTCTTGGCCCACTACAATCAGTCTATTATTACCATTGTTAATCATATCTGAAAGAAAAATAAGTTAGAATTATGTGTTATATTTAATTTATTTTCAGATTGTCAGCATTGGTCCGACTGACTATAATTATGATGAATCACTTTGCGCTATGCAAATCGCGCAAAAAGTATAAAAAATAATGCCCGTATCAATGAGGATCCTAAAGATGCTATGCTGCGCCAATTTCAGAAGGAGATTGAAGCGCTCCAAAAGCAGTTAGAAGAAGGTATTTGGCTGAATAATTAATTATTGCAAGAGATTTATGCTAATGTATTGAAAGTTTTCAACTTCTACAGAGTCACTTACTGGGCAATACTGTCTTTTAATAGCATTATTAATTATTCCAAGCTTTTATAATCTAAATATGATTTTTATATTGATCTTAATGAATTAGGGTAGCCATTTCGTCTAAATTATTTACGGTAATTCAGCACTTTACTTAATTATGCTCTCATGCTAAAAGCTATCTCTAATGTGGTAGACTAATGCACTGAGCCGAACACATATAATCAGTTTATATGTAATTACAAAATTATTTACTTGAAGTGTAGCTGTACTAAATGTTATAGGCCTGAAACCTAGATATAACAATATAGTATCGATTATTACTAGCCATAAACCATGTAAAGTAATTTCCTTATCAGAAAATAACATTAATAAGAATTTAAATATTTTATATCCCTTTTAAAGTACATGATCAACAACCAACTTACCAGAGACATTAATTATTTTTCTATTCATATATATATATATATATAGAAGATCTGCTTGAGCTAGTGTATATATTAAATGGAACGACTAAATTCAACTGGAATTAGAAAAGGGCAGTAAATGATTCATTTTAGAGATCCACTTTGGTAAAGAATAGAACATATTTGACAGGAATGTGGATAGTAAACCCACAAACATGATTTTCTCCCCAAATTCTTTCTATACTCTTACTTATTATGCTAAGATAAGAGGTATGAAATTAATGATCGTAAAAGGTTTGCATCTACAAGGCGAAAATAAATATGCTAAGAGGTTAGAAAGGTTTCGACAGCATTTAGTTCAGAACAAATATCAATTAAAGTTAATTGTTA